ATATAGGTAGGTGCCTATGCCGGAAATACTAGTCAGCACGGGGTTCATGTCCCCGTGTCGGGAAAGTACGTAAAGTATAGGAAGAGATAAAAAGACATCTCGATGACTGGCGCGCCGAGAGTGGTTGAGCGGCCTCAAGGTACTGAGGGAATTAAAAGTACGGCCATTTAAAAGTTTAAAACAGGAAAATTAGTCCCTTCTGTGATTTGCGAAGCCACAAGGGATCGAGGTTAATATGTTCACAACATTACTGGTAGGACAGGTTACGCTCTTTTAGCGAAGAAATGCTGGCCCGATTTACTTTTTTCCGTTAACTAGCGCGCGAACGGCTTAATAGGCGCGAGAAGTATTTTAGACTAGGTCTTATGTGCGTTGAACACCTACCTGCTTGAGCTGCTATTCTTCGGGTGGGCTAGCAGCCTTCCCCATGCTTGGCCTCTGCTCCTGCCTCTCATTGCTGGTTAATTGTTTACAAACTTGGTTCTCACATCATTTCCAACCTTGGATGGGTCCAGCAATGGGATAGTAAAGATAAACGGTTCATCTACGCGTGCCACACACAATACTGTTCCTACAGCAGGTACACACGGTGGGCACCTTCAAAACCAACAGTCGAACTGTCGGTTCAAGTTGGGTGCCGATGATATCGCTTTACTAGCTTAAAGCTTTGGCGGTCTACAGTCTATGGTATCACGGGTGAGCGAGGTTGCGAAATCGGTCGGTTTGTCCATAAACGCTGGGAAGACCAAAGTGTTTTCATGTTGCGGCCGTGCCCAAGAGAAGGCACCTCTCAAAAATAATGGCTGTCAACTTGAAGAAGTAGACAGTTTTAAATACCTCAGAGCGAGGTTGCTGCCTAATGCACAGAGTAGGGATGACATTATCGTCCGAATTGATGCGATTCGACGAGTTTTCTCAAGCCTTAGAAATTGCCTATGGACCCGATGCGATATTTCTCTTACTACGAAGGTCCTCATGTACCGTGAATATGTGCGGTTCGTTATTCTATACGGATGGGAATGTTGGGTTATGCGCAAGGAAGATGAACGGAAACTGGAGGTAGTTGACCACTACTGCTTTAGGACCATCCTTCGAGTGAGGTACACCGACTAAGTCTCAAATGAGGCAGTCCACACTCGCTGCGACAACATCGCAAGGATATTCCAGGCAATCCAAGAAAGACGACTGTGGTGGTTTGGACGCGTTCTGCGCCGTCAACCTCACCAGCTCTTTGTTACTGCCCTAGACCCGAAATTGTTGCCTTATTGGAGACATCAAAGAGGGGGTCAGCTCAAAACCTGGCTCGACTTAGTCCGTCAGGAAATGGAAGTAGTTGTTGGACTTTTGGTCTTCAGTCTCCGGCGCTGGCGAAGAGAATGGCCTGAACTGCCCAGGTCATCGGCCACGGATCGTCGCGCGTGGGGAAGCACCGTACGGGACATCATCGAAGATGGCTAGCTCCATCATGATCGCAGTCGAAACAAGTACAATAAAGTAAGTAAGTAAACGGGCCGCTTGACAGATGCACTAAATCAACATGCGGGTACGGCAGAAGTTATTTGGGTTGCGCTCCCCTAACCACCGTAGAACGAGGGGAGGGAGTACCACGCGTAGGTGTAGATTCATACTGCACCTGTGCCTCCAGTCTTCTTGACTCTGTCTTGACGGCGGTCACAGGTGGATGAGGGAAGAAAGAGAGAGTGCGATCGAAGCAGCGCAAGTCTACTATCACTTAAAACGAATCCTCATATAAGTTAACGTCCCTGCTCTGGAGCACATGATGGACCTCGTCCGAATCGATGATCCAAATGTTGTAACTTAGTTATTTAAGAGAGAGCCCGGATGTGTCATGACATGCGTTGACGAAAAATGTATACTGGTTCAAACAGTCTATATTAACTTTCACCTAGTGCTGATAATAGAATACGATAGGCTCCTGTAGGCAGTGTGGAATGTACGGACTCTTCACAAACCAACTCATATTCTCCCAGGTACTTGATTATCTGTATTTCTTTGGGCGTGCAACCTGTCAGGTACAGTTCCTCAGCTGTTGGAGTATAACTTACCAGCCAGAGGCGCACAATACGCCTCCTAGCCTGTTCACTGAAAGTGCGTTTCTTTTTTATCTCCCTTGGTGACAATTTATCACCACGCCTTGTTTACTTTGCATAACTGCCTACTTATTTCCTAGTAAGCAAATTTATTTCTGAATTCGCATCCCTAGAACTCGACCTATCCTCGTGCCGGTCAGTGACAAGTGTTGGTTTTGTGCCTCTGGGCCGTCTGATTCATCTGCGTTGGCTCAGCCTCTATCGAACCCAGGTGGATGAGCAGGCGCTCACCAATCTGGCCAACCTGTGTCAATACCTGCGTCACCTGAGTCTGGGCTCTTGTGGATCTATCACAAATTTGGACTCGGTTATCGCCCAGATTGCCGCCAATAACCCGTTAGTCTTTATCCTCCCTCATTGCCACTATGAAATGTTACTGTCTAAAAATATGCCCTCGAGTTAACACTGTGCCCTTTAACGCACCCTCTTATCCTTCTTTAAGGATGGTTTCATGGCATGACTGTCTACTTATTTCGTAGTAGTAGTTCGTATATTTTGTTTTATATTTATGTTTCGCCTGTTTTGATCACCGCTAACGTTCGACATTGTCCTTCGCCCAGATAACGGCCAATAAACCGTTAGTTTTTATCTTCCCATTTGCTACTGTTTTGAGAATTTGCCTTCGAGATAATAATATGTGCTTTTTTACACGTCCTCTTTCCTTTATGTCAAGATTGTTGGAATCATTGGATCTTTGGCGTTCTCGCTCACTTACCGCGGAAGGACTGATGCGATTAGCTGATTCTTCACCTAGTCTGCAGCACCTTGACCTGGGCTGGTGTTCTGGGGTGGAGTCTCAGCCCTCTAATTGCTTTACCTACCTCGTCTCCCGGTGTCCCAACATCCGGACAATGAATCTCACTTCCATTCGGTGCGTGGTTATTTTTTGACCCTCTTCTGGGTTTTCGCATCCACTGTCAATCTTTCACATAGTATATTAATTGCTAATTCAGTACATGTAAGGGTAGTAGGTATTATTAGGAGGGTCTGGCAGATATGATTATTTCGATTGACCCAATTGGGAAAATTTCATGGCCTCGGTGGGGTTCAAACCGACACAGCAGGGATGACTTTTTGCGCAGACCACGCTCTACCATTGAACTAAAAAGGCACGCCGAAACATGTGAATTTAATCATACTTGGGTAGGTTTGCTTGCCGAGACTACCGCACATACGGCATCCATCATTACAGGTACAGAAAGCTGACTGTCTAGGCAGGATTTCCGAAGCAATCATCTAAATTCCACCGGATTGACTACTAGGCGCACTTAATGATTGGGAAGGTTTGGCAGATTTTACCAATTCGGTTGACCTAGGCCACGACTTTTTCATAATTGGGTCAGTTTAATTATTTTAGTTTGTCAAAACCCCATAATAATTAAGTATGTCTAATGGTAAGTCTGCCTAGGCAGTCAGCTTACTGTATCCCTAATGGTGGATTCCATAGGTGCAGTAGGCTGGGCAAGCAAATCCATCCAAGTGTGATTAAATTCAGTTCTTCAATGTGTATTAATAGCTCAATTGCTAGAGTTTCCTGTACTGAAGCCTTCTCTGTTTATGTGGGTTCGAATCTCACCGAGGCCACAGAAGAGGGTTATTCATGTTCAGACAGTGGCAGTATTTAAGGGATACTCAATATCTATGACAATCAATGACTCCCTTCTATTGAGGATAGTTGCCCGCTTGTGTACTAGTTGCTTGATGGCCGACGTGCGGATTGTGATCTGCTGAACTTTCATCAGCCGTTCTGGATCTGGGCGTGAGGATTGCTCGGCTGCCTGGCTC